TTGATGGCCTTAAAACTCAAATTGAGCGTCACCTCAGCTCATTGAAGGCCAGTATAAGAGAATACTTCCCACCCACGGATAAAAAGTTGGACTGGATTCGTGACCCATTTTCGTTTGATGCCATTGAAACTTTAAGCAACCTAACAACATTCCAGGAGGAACAACTAATTGAACTATCATGTGATCAGACAATAAAAAATCTGTTAACTGTGTTTTATTTTACTCTTAAACCTATATACTGGTTCATAGGCACTTGGGTTTTGTAATATTGAAGTGGTTTCTTCAAGCGCGGCCCCCTAATAAGGCTCACTTTACATCATCCAGGGGCATGTAAAACCTGCTTCTCAACTTCTAAAAACCTGCTGGCTGGGCAATTCAGTTATTTTAAATCATTAAATTTGTAAACGTATAGTATATAGAGTTTATTTTCAATCTATATATTAAAAGTTTAATGTAATTATGCCTCAATTTTATCAGAAAGTTATTTTTAAATTTTGTATTACATTTTAGTTTTGTGTTTCATCAGATTTTATTATTTTTAAAATTGTTAACCTTTCTACCCAGCTAGCACATAACGTTGCCAAGCCTTTCGGCGATGTTGTTTTAAGGGAACGTAATAACATTATCATATAACGTAATTGCAACGTACATGAGAAGTTGTTGAGAGAAATCAAAACCTCGCGAAACATCTATTTGTTACTTACGTATTTAACCTGCCTGTTATGATAACACAACATAATAAAGTAACTTGCTAAAAAAGTATCCACGAGATGTACTATATACATCATTTTGTTTTCGAACGTACCCATTCGTTTGTTATAACCAACAAAACAAAAAAATGTCACTTGTCACATTTTCTTGTATTTATTTGAGATTTTAAAGAAATTGTAAACTATACCTTTGAATAAGTTTGGTAAGTTCTTTTCTTCTTTTCAATAAAATAGAAACATATTTTCTAATTTATTGTCTGTTCTTTTAGATTGCAATATTAAATGACTGCCTATATTTTACACGATAATAGGGATCTTATTGATGTCTCAATACTATAGAAGTATCGATATTAAACAATGAAAGTATCCATATTTAGGCACTGATACTGAATTACCAATACTATCGCCATATCCATACTTAGAAGCAAGTATCGTATCGCTATGTGTGTGGTCAGGAATAATAAGGTTTGTTCAAATATTTTAGTTTTCGCATGTGGTGAAACTTGGTAATATGATTAATCCTTACCACTGTTTTTTTTTTTGTTATTTAATTATAAGTTAAATTGCCAGTTATTGACACTATAACTTGTACCAGGTAGAGTACCAGTAGAGAAAGAAAAGGTGTCAACTACAGAATATACTTTACTGATGCACACTTGTTTTTAGTTAAGTTCCCCACTCCATCCTGTTGAATGGGGGTTGTCAGCCGTTTAAAAAAAATCTTTTACTTGTTCAATACTTTGATACTTATAAATATCGATATTTTTAACATAATATCGAACAGTATCGATGCCTGTACCACAAAGTATTTCACATGATACCAGTATCAATACCTTTGACTGATACTCTTAGCCCTACTCCTATACTACTATAAAAATACAAAAACAAAGAAGTCATATACTGCCATCCTAGACAGAGAGGTCCTATCTGAAAATTTGTTGTTTTGAAATAATCGAGTTTTTAACTATTTTTAGCAAATATATTTATTATCTTTTAAACCTTTTTTGTGTAACTTTTTAACATTTTAGTACCTTTGATACAAATAAGACATTCCATTTCAGTATTAAAGATAAAATGTAGACAAATGCACATAAATAAAAAAACTGATAATTTTGCAGATAAAACCTTTCTTGCTAGGACGGCAGTTAGAAGTGCTCATGTAGTTCACTAAAGATAAATAACATTTGAATTTGTTACATTTCAGTAAATTAAGTATTACCATTGCTGGACAGTAGTGACATTTTGGTGGATAAATACAGCATTTCACTGGACATATACCTATGCCGTTTTGCTGTACGTTTGCTGCACAATACCAATCGCTGGACAAACTTTAAAAATGCTTTACAATACAGCAAAATTGCTGTAAGTATGGTCGCCCTAGTGTAATAATATTTTAATCACTAAAAATAAATTTTAAAAATATTGTGTTGTAGGTTTTCTTTGTGGTGGATTATAATTCTAGTAAAAATGTTAGGAATTTTAGAAGCTAAAGTTAATAATACAGAATTGGTTGAAGAAGAATATATAACATCTGAAATTATTTCTTTTTCTTTCATAGCAGAATATCATGCTAAAAACATTGTTCTGTATAAGTTGAACATCCATTATTAAGTATCAAATTTGTAAAAATCAAAATTAAGATTATTATTATTTAGGAAAACAAAGTAAGTAAAAATCATTTAAAAATAGGTGCAACGATTTAAACGAGCATATTTTTCATTTTCTTTATACATATTATTTTCTTTTATAATAAACAAGTAAATTTATTATCTACAAGGTTATTCTTAGGAAGAAACTATATAATTAAGTTAACATTATTTATTTATCTATCTATTTGTTTACAGTACGCTACAAATACATAAAGTTCTAAATGGTACATTTAAAATATCAATTAAAATAAAAAAGAAATTAATAAAATTGTCATAGTATAAAATTGAAGTCAATATAGTATAATGAAAGTCGACGCTTAAAAAAAATCTACTAAAATGTCATAATTTGAAAAATACTTATTGTAATTGGACATCAGTCGGTCTACAAATAAATTCTGTCCACAGTTAGTTCTATGAGTATTTACATAAAATAGTTTAATCTGCCTAGTAAGTCTGACAGGAACAAGGAATCTAATAAAATGAGGAATAAACGATAGGCCCCTGTCAAAAATATCACCAAGATCATTTATAGTTCAGAACCTGCAGTGACATAATCATGCATAATGATATTAGCTGTTTTATTAAACCTTATAACTTTACATTTATCAATATTCAGTTTAATCAAGTTATATCGTATTAAAACTATGATTAGTACCAGTTGTAGGCAAATATATTTTTTTAGCATCGTACAACTGCTATCTTAATAAAAATCTAGTGACCTTTGAAATATACCTTATATAAATACACTTTTTTTTATTACTTTTGTACAATCGTTCACCATTTTAGCTACTAATGAACCTTTGCAATATAGGTACCTTATTATACTCTTTCGTGCAAGCGTTCAATGTTTTTGATTCTAGTGAACTTCTGAGATATTCCTTATATACCCTCTATACCTACTTTTGTCCAATTTGTCAGTGTTTTATAGCTACCTTATGGTATTACACATGTGTAATTGCATTACCTGTATTATTACCTACCTCTACTTGTATGATATTGGTATTTGATTTCAATAGCTTTTTAATAATAAATTTATACAATTTTTTTATTTTGTTTTCTTCAGATTTTACTATATCCTTAATATACTATTTTGAATATAGTGTATCCAAGGATGGACATAACTATACTTGTAAAGATATTTATTTTAAATTTTTCAAAAGAGGTATTTTTCATAATTTCTCAACGTTAATCGTATTTATTTAACAAGCAAAAGAAATTATGAAGAAGTACTTTAAAATTTAAAATAAATATTTTTACAAGTATTGTTAAGTCCATCCGTGGACACACTGTATAATGCTGTAGAAGGAATTCACATTATAACATCTATAGAAAGTTTCAGAGCAACTTTCGGGGTAAGTACCGTAAAAGTGCTAGTGTGATGTTTTCCGAACTTCACTTTATAACTTCTACGAGATGTGCTATAAAAGTCTTGCCGTTGCGGACATTCGGTAGTTGCAGGGATAATAGGGTTACATTTACAGTACATTGCATGCGAGCTTAAAGAGCCTAAAATTGCAGCTTATTAACGTAGATGGGATATTTTTGTGCTAGCTGGGTAACTCTCACTTGTGGCGTTCGAACTGGGTGTGCTCGGGCGCCAGTTTGTTTTAGAGTGGTTTGCTCCACTTTACCTATTGGAACAAGTTCCAAAAAGGACTTTAGTAACTGCAGTTAAGAAAGAAATTTTTTTGAATTTCTCCTCTAAGCGTCTTAGAGCTTCTGACTATTCGGTTATCCCTAAAGCGAGGGGAATATAGAGACACGGTGGGGAGTAAACGGGAGCGGAAATAACGTGCAAAAGATAAATTGCAAAACTAGCTACAGTCTAACGGACCACAAGATCAATATCTTTGCGACGTAATCCCTGAGGATGACGCTCGAGGCTATTTAACCTCGTATAAACCAGACGCTGGGAGCGAAGCTGAATCAACCCTTTCTACTACGCGGGATAGTCACTTTACATCGACTTACAATTTAGAGTCCAGTCAACTGGTCGGGAATTCACTGGAAGTCTAACTACTTGTTGGGACAGGTATTAGGATTAAATAAATCAAATGAATGTTAATTGCGGAACTACAGAAATTTTATAGAGATATACAGACAGACTTGTACTAAACGGCAGCAAATGTAGCTAAGCTTCACTTCTGTTCAATATCAAATCCGGAACATATTATTATTATCTAAGTTGGTTACCAAATTAGCCCATTCTACTGCGGTAGTAGTCACTGTCTTCAATAACAACTCAGACAATATTCTAATTAGGGGAATTTTAATATCGGAATGTACAAATAAGAAGTTCTTGTAAACCCAAACACGGCCTAACAGGTATGGGAAGGGACGGAAATCAAATCAATTATTACTTAATGAATGTTCAAGAAATTCATGTTATTCCAGTCGAAAGAATTCAAAAATTAAAATCGAAACTACTATCGTTTAATTTCTTGGCAACCCGGTATAAACTAATATTTATAAAATTAACAGGAACTAAATTATGTACAACCCCGGTATAAATATTTCCAAAACCAATATTTCGATTTCGAGTGCGCGAAAGATCGGTAGTGGGGCGCGATGAATTTACAGAAATATAAAATTTTACACCTGGAATTTCGGAAAATAATAATTTAAAAATCAGGGAACTTTAAGAAAAGGGTTGATCCAGTTAATTAAAAAATAGGAATGAATTTTTAGTCCATTACAAGGGTGTTATTCAACATTTTTAATAGAAACATTCTCTGTGAAAAAAATTATCTATTTATTCATTAAATACACTAATAAACAATTATACCCATTATGTTCGTGGTTCAAACCACAATTTAACACCATGTGTCAATGTAAGAACTGCTTGCAAACTAAATTCAATCTCTTCTACTGATTTATATGAGGTGCACATCTTAAATTCTCGAATCACTGTTGCTGTTAGAGTTTTTAAATTTTGAAACGCATAATATTTACCTAAAACAAATATAGTTATTAAAATAACCAAAAAAGGTTGACAGCTGTGTGCACGTAGTTTAGATTCAAAAGAAAAGACTTGTATTTCGTGCAAAAATTTTTAATTAATAAATGCAAAGCGCTTTCGGCTTATTTGCCATCATCAGTGCTTGTCTACAAAAATTGTGGATGTAAACTTACAATTTAAAAAATTATATTATAAAATCTGAATAAGACTTTTAAGTCAAAAAGTTAAAATTGTATATATACGATTGTTTGAACAAATTAACAATTACAAGAATCAAACAAAGTGAAAAAAAACTGGTATTGGGAATAGTGAGTGTGGGATAAGCCCTTACAAATCAAATCTGATCTCCAGAAGCAAGTTAGCTTGTGTGGAATTAAGGAATTATGCCACCTTCACTATTCACAAAATTGAAAACAAGTTAACAAATTAGTTAAAATTTAAAGAAATTTACAAATAGAGGGTGACTGTGGAAGATATATTGAAATTTGAAACTAAAATACAATATTTAATATGAAGAAAGTTAAACGCAGAAGGCCAAAGTAAAAAAAACTGAAGTTTTTTTTATATTTTATATACATTATAATTATAAAAAAGTCTACCTACTGTCCACAACGTATCCAACAAGTTCATGGTCATCCTCACTCCCAAAATTAGATATTTCGGGATATTTACAACTTGCTAAATCATAATCTTAGTATTATTAATATTTTCAAATTTAAATTTATCTATTCATTTTTATTCAAGTTGTTTAACCGTTTCCACATGACAGTGGTGACAAGCGACACTTGAAGACGTTGACTTGTCAAATGTCAAGAGAAGGAGGTGCGTTCACCTCAGTGTGGAACATGTTTCTCCGAGTGTGATTCAAGTGATTGGAGGTGGTTAACGGAGATCAAAATTTGTTAGTATTGAATTTAAAGATTTGATTTATTGTTAGTTAAATTTAAATAAATGTTTAATATAAATGATATTATTATTTTGATGTCAAGACAAAACAAAAATGTCACTCGCGTGATTCTGATGTGCCAGCCCGGGCTATGCAGAACATTCTTTCAGAGAACCCAAGATAGCACAACTGAACCCGCGGTCCCTAAAGGTGAATCTGATGTTTAGTCCTAAAAATTACTAAATCACTCATCAAGCGTACTCATGGTTGAAAGAGACAAAATAGAGAACAAAAAAGTTTTAAACAAAGGAGTACCATGGTCCCAAAGGTAGGCTCTGATGGGTGAAATCGAGTTTAGGAGGAGATGGCTCTCGAAGGCTTGTATTGGGTGACTCGGACCTACATCATCATAGAGGGTTAATTGAGTTGTCTATGGAGTGGTATGAAATTTCTGTTAAGGTTCACTTGAGTGTTGAGACAGAGGATATTGTTGTCTCTTTCAAGAGTAATTTCAACATCTTCATGAAAATCTAATAAAATGAAATTTTTTGTGTTTAAGTTAACTAATAATTTGGAGTTTTTTGTTGGGCTAAAATTATGTTGATTGAACCTTAAGTGATGTCCGAATTTAGCATATATAGAAAACCCACCCAAACAAACCACGTGATACACTATTCTTCAAATCACCCCCACCAACATAAAATGTCTGCTTTCTATTGCTATATTCATAGACTTCTATCAATTCCTCTAAATAAAATTAATTATCTTCAAGAATTAAATATACTTAAACAAATTGCATTTAACAACGGGTATGACCCGGACATAATCCAATCTCTAATCACCAAAATTAAGTTCAAGAAAATTCAAAAATTAGCTTACCCCAATTTGAGTCACATTAATAATTTTTACATATCAATCCCCTTCTGGGAAAATAACTTAGCTAAGAGCATTTCAAAAATTTTTGCTAACAACGTAGATAACATCAAAGTATCTTTTAAATCAATTAATAAACTAGACTCCCATCAATACAAAAGACAAAACGAATTTGTTAGATAAGAGTGGAGTATACAGGTTGCAATGCAGCGATTGCGATGCCAGTTATATCGACAGAACTTGTAGATCTCTGGGAGTCCGGATAGGCGAGCACATCAAGAAGCCGGACACATCTGCATTCGGACATCACTTAAGGTTCAATCAACATTATTTTAGCCCAACAAAAAACTCCAAATTATTAGTTAACTTAAACACAAAAAATTTCTATTTATTAGATTTTCATGAAGATGTTGAAATTACTCTTGAAAGAGACAACAATATCCTCTGTCTCAACACTCAAGTGAACCTTAACAGAAATTTTATACCACTCCATAGACAACTCAATTAACCCTCTATGATGATGTAGGTCCGAGTCACCCAATACAAGCCTTCGAGAACCATCCCCTCCTAAACTCGATTTCACCCATCAGAGCCTACCTTTGGGACCATGGTACTCCTTTGTTTAAAACTTTTTTGTTCTCTATTTTGTCTCTTTCAACCATGAGTACGCTTGATGAGTGATTTAATAATTTTTAGGACTAAACATCAGATTCACCTTTAGGGACCGCGGGTTCAGTTGTGCCATCTTGGGTTCTCTGAAAGAATGTTCTGCAGAGCCCGGGCTGGCACATTAGAATCACGCGAGTGACATTTTTGTTTTGTCTTGACATCAAAATAATAATATAATTTATATTAAACATTTATTTAAATTTAACTAACAATAAATCAAATCTTTAAATTCAATACTAACAAATTTTGATCTCCGTTAACCACCTCCAATCACTCGAATCACACTCGGAGAAACATGTTCCACACTGAGGTAAATGCACCTCCTTCTCTTGACATTTGACAAGTCAACGTCTTCAAGTGTCACTTGTCACCACTGTCATGTGGAAACGGTTAAACAACTTGAATAAAAATGAATAGATAAATGCAAAGCATTTATTAATTAAAAAGTTTTGCACGAAATACAAGGCTTTCCTTTTGAATGGAAATATAGTTATTACATTTTCAATAAATAATAATTGTTTTCTCAGAAACTAAATAAAATTTTAGGTTACATATTTGTTGGTAAAGAGACTTTTCGCTTAAAATTAGAAAAAAATGTCATTCTGAAACCAACTAACAAACAAAATGTATGATAAATAACTGTATTTAAAATATAAACAATGAACAAATATAAGAAATAACATTTAAAACTTACAGATTTAAATTTACAAATAGAAAAGTATTAATTTTTGAAAAAGAGCGTTCAGAAAAATTTACTATGAAAATATTTATACCTATACAGTTTCTGGCACCATAAGAGAAAGGAATATATGTGCAAGGATGTCGTTTACTTTTTTCCTCAAGTAAAAATCTATCTGGATTAAATGTTAGTGGATCTTTCCAGTACTTTGGGTCCCTGTGAAGTATACTCGGAATCACCATAGCCATCATGCCTTTTGGAATTATAATATCACCTAAAAAATAACGTTTTTCTCCAATCATTAAAAATAGTGACGTTTTTTAAATAGATTTTTTTGTATAAAATGTAATTGTTGAACAATAAAATAGGTGACATAAGAGTATAGATCAGATTTTATACGAGTTGGACATTATTGAGCACGCTACTCTCAATTACCAAAAATTTTGGCCGAATCCCCTGGTGATCCAACCAAAGGTAGGGATCTTTAACGAGTCCAATATCCATGGACTCGGGATTGACGACATTACATCTTTTCCGAAAAGGTGGCTCACTCCAGAGGGGGAAACTCCTATGCGCAAGACTGGGGTAGCGTTTTAATCAAACACGTCCAATCAACCGTGTCGTGTAACGAAATGAAATAAATTCCGTAAAATAAACGGTGTGGAGTTAGTGTCGTTCTGACTTCAAATGACGCGAGTTTTTAAGAAGTTTAGTCGAGTGGACGAACTCTGTGATATACTTGAGTTTTCCGGCTACGAAACTTCAGAAAATTACCATGCGGTTTTCAAATAAAAAAAAAATGAAAGAAAATTAAATTATTACACTTAACTCCAGCTTTGACTGGGGTTTTTAAAAAGTTTAGTCGAGTGGATCCAATTAAAGGTTTAATGGATGCCCGGGAAAACCTAAGATCTCGGTGCTTCCCAATAAAAACAGAAGAAGTAAAGATAATAGTGTTTGATTTATACCTTGAATAACAATGTTAGGGCGTCGGCACGAAAACAGAAAAAATTCTCGATAACTAATGTTCGGCACTAAGTCGAGCAGCTAAGGAAGAGTCAACAGCAAGAGCGGCAGCAAAAAAAAGCTCCTTCGGGCTTTCCTTCTTTTAATTTTGTATGTTGTTATGACTATATCAGTAGGCATTCTTAGAATCCTGTTTTTTACTTGCTGGTATAGTCTTGTACGGTCAATTATATGTAGTTGGCTTATTGGGTTTTGTTTCTGCATTAGTCTGTAAATGATGGGACTGGTTTCTCCTTATATGATGATGTGCAGTAGCTTGAGGTTATAGTACCTCCATTGTTGCAGTTGGTGTAGTATGCATGGCCCCAGAGAGACGAGCCGCTGAATGGCGGTACGTTGTCCTTTTATACTTGCACGCCACCTCGTTATAGAATCTTATCACCCTTGTGCGTTAACCATATGGTCATTTTAGAGCTTGTGCCCCAGTTTTTCTAGCATATTTTGCTACTACTTACAAGAGAAATTGTGCGAGCTCTATATGCGAGTTTTTTGAGTCGTATTTAGCTTCTGTGACAACTGGAATGACCATGTTGTTTATTACTAATCGTTTTAGTTCTGTAAGTACCTGTTTTGTGCGTTAATAGACAATTGCTAGGTCGTCCACGTATTCTAGACACTGGTAGCCTTCTTGGGCAATGTTTTGAGTAGGTCGTCAACTAGAACTGACTACAGCAGTTGAGTAGTATTCCTTCTTGTGGACAGCCCCGTGTAACTTTTGCCTGTATGGTTGCCTTTCGTAGAGTGGAAAAATTATCATATTCTCTAGGCTGGCAGTGATTCATTGTCATATTGTGACTGGGACATTTTCGTCTTCTAGAGCCTTCACAGGGAAGGAAACAGTAAGGGAACTCTTCAGGGTTCACTTCCCTGGTGCACAAACCATAGCACACACACCGGCTAACCGGAATCTAAACGGACTGGAAGCTCATAACAAAGCCAACGGGGAAGATTGGAGGATAGCCAAACAAGTGGTGAACTATGATAAACTGAAATGAGCAATTAGCTCATTCGAACCATATAAATTACCGGGCATGGACGGAATTTATCCAATAATGTTACAAAGATGTCCTGATATTTTATACAGCAGACTCTGTAACATACTCAGAGTAGCCTGGCCTTTGGACACATACCAAAAGCTTGGAGAAATACTAGGGTAACTTTTGTACCAAAACCTGGGAAAATAGGACAGGAAACGGCAAAGTCCCTAAGACCAATAAGTCTTATGTCCTTTGTACTTGAGACTTTGGAAAAACTGCTAGATAGGCATATTAGAGACGGGATATTGGTTGAGAGGCCAATATACCAAGACCAATACATCTATAGTGCAACTGAAACAGCTTTCCATCAATTAATAAAAGGGGTGGAGAACGCACTGGAAAACAAGGAGGTAATGCTGGGAGCATTCTTGGATATCGAGGGTGTATTTGACAATACCTCCCTTAAATCGGTCATTAGATCTCTCAAACACAGAGGAATCGACTCTATGTTAAGGGAGAGAACTATTCACATAACCCTTATGGAAGAGACAATAGCGACACGGGTAGCAAGAGGATGTCCGCAGGATGGAGTGCTGTCTCCACTCCTGTGGAACCTTGTAGTGGACGGACTGCTTAGGCTCTCAAAGATAAGGGACATAGAACCCTGGGATATGCCGATGATCTAGTGATCATGGCACAGGGAAAATACAACACCATAGTAAGAGATCGAATGCAAGAGGCTCTAAATATAGTAACAAAATGGACAACGGCGGAAGGACTAAACATTAGCCCAAACAAATCTGACATAATTGCATACACCCGCAGGAGAAAATTGGAGGGACTAGGGCCTCTAAACCTAAGAGGTGCAAGCATCCAGCTTAAGGGGAAGGTAAAATGCCTCGGGGTTATGATTAACTCGAGACTTACCTGGAACAAGCATCTAGAAAAAACCACAAGGAGAGCGGAAACTTCGTTAATGATGGCAAGGCGATCCTTTGGAAAAAAATGGGGGTTAAAACCAGACATGGTATATTGGCTTAATAAAATGGTGCTGAGACCGATAATAACATACGCAGCTTTGGTGTGGTGGCCAAAGACACAGCAAAGGAAAGCAATAACGAGGCTAAGCAAGGTATAAAGACTTGCCTACCTCGGAATAACGGGGGCAATGAAAACAACCCCCACTGCTGCAATGGAAGCACTAATAGGACTCCCACCTCTTCACTATGTGATACAAAGGGAGATAAGATTAGGTGCTTACAGATTAGGTAATACACTGGGAAATCTTGACTTTAAGCCAGGTCACAGGTCAATTTTAATGTTGAAATACATGGTCAATTTTTGGAAATAAACCAAAATTTGATTTTTCTCGAAAACGGTCGACTTTAGAGCGTATGACCAAGAGTACCTTTTTTGTGTAGAAAACATTGGCGGCTCAAATGGGCATCTCAAACCCGTACTTTTTCCAGTGGCGTAGAATTTTTTTTTTCAATTTCAACACCCTGTATCTCGAAAATGGTGTATTTTAGAGGATAAGTTAATAGGAACGTTTTTTCATATTTTTGGACGAGCTATCACGTCCTGAAATCCTGCGCATATATTATAAAACACCCTGTATAAAGGTTATATAGTTTAAAACCACAGAAAATCATTTTTATTTCACTTTCGCATTATTTCTTATGTGTTCATTTGGTAAAATTTTTGTTAAATGTTTCACATTTTTTTATAAAAGTTTTTTATAATATATTAATTTAAATGTCCCAGCTAGTTATTCAATGTGTTTTTTTTTGAGAATCAGTGGGATTTTTGAGATTCAGTACGTTAAAAAAATAGTAAGATTTTGTCACAGGGTTTCCATATCCTTGTATTTACTTACCAAGGTCTATATCTTCGGTTATTGTTCTTCCAAACGTCACCACTGGTGGAAAAAGTCTCAAACTTTCTTTAATTGCCCTTTCTGTATATTTCATTTTCACTAAATTTGACGACTCAATTTCCCCGGTAAGTCCAACTGCATCAATAACTTCATCATAAACTTTTTGCTAAAACATTTAAGATATTCAAGAACCATATGGGAGAGCAGGGGTGTATGAAGATTATAGGTCTGAGAAAAATAATAAAGAAAAAAAAAATACATTCATCAAACAATGATTTAAAGATGCTTTGGGCTAGAATATTTATTTAAGCAATTGGCAAAGCCGTCAAGAATTTAACCTTTCTTCGTGTATACCCGCCTGATGCAAGTAGGAATAATAGAGTCCCCTTATGAATAAAACTGATTTGATTTGCCCCAAAATTAAATATATAGTGAATTAGATGATGTAACGAACTCACTACTGGACTAAAAGCTAACTGAGTTATACAAATAGATTTTTAAATGTTTATTAATGTAGTAGTACTTTGAATTTATAAGGAAAAAATTACCTGTATATCTGGATGCATTGCTAACATTATAAACAACGTGCAAATGACCATGCCAGTAGTATCCATAGACTAAAAAAAAATCGATGAATATAAAAAAGTTGTAGATATAGGGAAAATTGACAGATGTTGCCTTGCACAATCTATACTATATTCAAACAGAAAAGTAAATACCTAAATCGGCAAAACACTCCTGTTGTTGCATTCACAAGAAAAACGAACCCGCAAGGAAAAAAGGAGCTATATACATATGTGTGGTCAACATTTAAAAATGGCAAAGGAAATTAAATATCTTAGAATCTCCCTTTTGCAGTTACCTGTAAAAACAAAGAGCACTATGGGCCTGTAAACGAATCGTAGGGAACACAAAGGGGCTTAAACCAACTGTATTTATACCTAGGTTATAGTATCCGTTGTAATCTACTCATCAGTCATACTAAAAGTATAAAAGCTGACAGAAAATTAGAGAAGGTACAAAGACAGTCCTGTCTTTATAAATATACCTACCTCAGCAATGGAGCTACTTGTATGGAAAATAGAAGCTATAGCGGAAATTATACAATGACATTAGAAAAATTTAAACAACAGGTTTTAATAATGCCATAAGATAGAATACCTATTCAAATAACAGAAGTAGCTATAATAGAGAAGGACAACCCTTACGGTAAGATAACTACCGAAAGAGAAATCCTTGTCAAAAAGACATTGATGGGAGAGCTGGACAAAACAAGTTTGTTCGCCTCCTGTAACAAAACCAAGCCACCCACCTTCAGGTCTTGGACGCACTCTGGTGAAATCATTAGAATAACGTGCGACGATGACCTGACGTTGGAATGGCTAAAAACCAAGGTACCAACATTAAAAACATGGGAAGGAGCAACACTCGCTGTTGTAAGGATGGGCGAGCTCTTCAAGCTCACCAAAGCCTCTCTGGATCCCAGGGGTAGCGCAAGCTGACCTTGACAAGAAGGAGGTTGTGCTCAGGCGACATGAGGGGCAAAACCCAAACTTACATGTAGCGAAATGGTGCACCATCCACCATGAAATAAAAAGACCCTAAGGGCCATCTCTTCGTCTTCGGCATCGGAGACGAAGACATGGGAATCCTAAAGGCCAAATCAATGAGGATGAGCTATGCGTTCACCTCATTGACTATAAGGCCAAAGGTCGAAAAAGAGGTTGAATCGGGGCCCAGTGAAGACTCCTTGGTAAAGGACCCTCTTCCCTCCCAATTCAAGCCGACAGTGGAGGACATCGAGCCAGAAAAAATGGCAATCGATGACCTTCAGCATAAAAACTCCGAGGAGCTACAAGAGATCACCCCCTTCCGATTTTCGGAGGAAGTGATGGTCGAATAAAAAAACAACTTTGCTGCCCAATTTTTAACGGAAGACCGGGAAGCAATAAAAGAGGTAACTATCATAAAATGTAACTTGCAGTACAAAAGGGTAGCTACGGCAACATTATGCCGCCGCCTTGATGGGCTGCAAGATACAGGAACCCTGGATAATAAAAACCAAAATTTTAGGTCTTAAAAATCTAATTGGTTCAATTTTTAGCTTTCCCAGCAAGCAACAACCTAGGGCAGCCATTTTTATTCCTAGGAAATACAAAGCCCACTCAATGACGTACCTTTCCACCTCCGATTTAACTGCGGTTAGGATGGAATACGCCATCAAAAGGGAAAAGAAAACGTTAATCCTGGCAACTACATACCTCCCTTTCGATGCAACCACGCCACCACCCAGCAAAGAAATGGAACTGCCTGGAACAGAAGATTGAGATGGTAATAGGTTGCGACTCAAACGCTCATCACTACAGTTGGGGCAGTAAGGATAACAACGCTAGAGGTAAGTCACTTCATGATTATATAATTACCAAAAATCTTTGCATTTTAAATAAAGGTACTACACCAACATTTTTAAAATCTCGCAGTCAAACACTAATAGATATCACTTTATCCACAAATGGTATCTATAAATCAATTCTAAACTGGCAAGTGTCTAATAACATTTCGATGTCAGACCACCGCTGGTTAATATTCAAAATAAACTTGATGTTGCTGACCTCCACGCTATCTCGGAACCCTAGGAAGACGGACAGGGCAATCTATGCCCACCTTTTCCAAGAGGTTCTGAGAGAAATGGAGGCCGAAACACCAAACAATAACAATGCTTTGGAGAAGTACTCAAACACTATCCAAAGCACAATAAACAATGCCTATAAGAAATCCTGTCCCCTGAGACTGGTCCAACACGATCAGACGACTACCGCATGGTGGTGTCACGAGTTGGATCACCTCATGAAGATGGCTAGGAAATCCTTTAATAAGGCAAGAACCACAAAACTCAAAGAGGACTGGGATACTTACAAATCTCACCTCAGAGAATACAAAAAAATCATTAGACAAAAACAGAAATATGCATGGAAATCCTACTGCGAAGAAATCAAAGATTTCCCGCAGGCAGCGAGGCTTCAAAAAGCTCTCTCAGAAGATCCAAAGCATTGGTGCGTTAATCAAAGAGGATGGCACGAAAACTGCCAACCTAGAAGATAGCATCAAACTTCTGCTGCCAACACACTTCCCTGACTCGGTCATGACAGATATGGCCGACTGGGCAGAGGAAAAATACAATCTATGATTGGCAAACTGCCAAACACATTGTAGACGATGAAAAAATTAGATGGGCAATATCCAGCTTCTCTCCATTTAAATCACCTGGACCTGACTGTATCTGTCCAGCCCTAATTCAGTGGGGTCTGAAAGAACTCCTGGTGGGTATATTCAGATCCTCGTTGGCTCTGAGGTGTATCCTCAAAAAATTGAGAGAGGTAAAAGAGGTATTTATACCCAAACCTGGAAGGATGGATTACAATGTCCCAAAAACATACCGACCAATTAGTCTGACATCGTTTTCCATGAAGACATTGGAAATACTATGCGAAAGGAACATAAGGGACGCGGTGATTACAACACTACTAGACACTAACCAACATTCAACCAACATGGATACACCCCAGGCAGATCTACTGATTCACCCCTTCATCTAGTTGCTGGCCGGATAGAAAGATTCCTGGACAATAAGGAGTCCGCCTTGGGTGTTTTTATAGACTTAGAAGGTGCTTTTGATAAAACTACATTCCCAAAGATATTACACTCACTAACCAACAAGAATGTTCCACAAATGGTTAGTGGGTGGATACATAACATGCTCTAAAAGCGAGCAGTAAACATAAGTGTAGAAGATGTGAATATAAGAGACTTGGTTGCGAGGGGATGTCCACAGGGAAGGGTACTTCTACTGTGGAATATGGTCTTCGACACCCTCATCAGCCGCCTCAATAATGACAGTCACTACACAATCGCATATGCAGATGACCTGGTCATTCTGCAAACAGAGAATTTTGAGAACATACTCTGCGAAAGAATGCAAGTAGCTCTAAAAATTATAGAACAGTGGTGCAAGGACCATTCACTGTCTATCAATCCTAAGAAGACAAAAAAAGGTCCTTTTCACAAGGAAAAGGATAAAAATGGAATTAAAACCACCAGAACTTCTAAACACAAAACTAAACTTTGGGACAGAGGTGAACTACCTAGGTCTCACCTTTGACAGCAAGTTAACATGAAACATGAACCGTGGGACTGACCTGGGGTTTCTCCCCCAAAGGCATCGCATGGATTTACCTATGCTAACATACGGTGCAGTTGTCTGGGTACCGAAAACCCAAAAATTAACAGCTATCTGTAAACTAGAACAAATTCAAAGAACAGCATGTCTCAACATAACAGCAGCCATGAAAACAACACCGACCAGAGCCATGAAAGTTATTCTTAGTCTCACTCCCCTTGATATTTACATCAAGAAGGTTGCTCTGATGACAATGACACGCCTCCGCACGGTTGGAATAGAACCTGATGTAGGATCTGGTAAGGCGAGACATCACTTTTGGTAGGAGGCGCTCGATACGCTCCCACTGCTTCAAACGAACATGGACTCCATCTCACCGAGATATACCTTCCATAAGCCATATAAAGTTATAATAGAACAAATAGAAGAGCCGGAAGTGGCAGGTACGATTCATATCTACACCGACGGTTCTAAAACAAAACAAGGCTCAGGATGTGGAATATACTCCAGATTATTAAACCTAAACATAAAATGGGCTGTGAGCAATAGTGCCAGTGTAGTTCAAACAGAGCTAACGGGGATTCTCATGGCAGCAAAAGAAATAACCAGAAACAATATCACTGGAAGGAACATGCTCATCTATACAGATAGCAGACAAGTACTACTCTCCCTGAACGACAATGGATTTATTCAGGGTTAGTACTAGAATGCCATTCAGCTTTGGCCGAAGTATCCATCAACAATGTGGTCACCTTAAGATGGATGAAAGGTCACGCCACATCGAAAGGTAACCGTCTTACCGATTCACTAGCCAAGAAAGCAGCCAACCAAATACTTTTTGAACCTGGCCCTTCCATTGGCCTGACAAAATCGGTAGTGACAGACCTATAATTAAAGAACATTCCCTTGTGAAATTCAAAGAAAGATGGGATAAAACAAGAAACTGCATAGTTGCCAGGGAGCTCTTAAATTATCCTGACAACACTGGAGCAAACAAATACTTGACTATGACTAGACGGAATCTGCGCCTGGTCACAGGCATTCTGGTCATTGCCAAGTACGGAAGCATCTCCATATCATGGAGCTGTCAGAATCCGCACTCTGCAGAGGGTGCGAACAAGAAGATGGGACCATCGAGCATATCCTTTACAATTGCTCGACACTCTCATTTATTAGAAGATTTGTATTCGGCGATTATCGGCTAACACCGGCCGATATAAGAGAAGCACCTCTTGGCGACGTTGTCAACTACATTAAATCTGGCTCACGAGCTAGGAGGTGCCTATCATCTTAGGAGGATGCACAATGGGCCTAATGAGGCCTAAGTGCCGTGGGGTAACCCACCCTCCACACGTTACAGATACAGAGAGAGAAAGGGGCAAAAGCCGGGAAAATAGTGAAATAGTAATCGAATCAATCTTGTATTCAGACGTTTCGAAGATGCAAAACAGCATGTGAGCTGGAATTTACCATATGAACTCAGGGAATACCATTAGGCTAAAGTAATAACAATAAATGCATGTGCCTATAATAGATTATGTTAAATGACTCTTTTAGAAATACTAGATTTATCTTGAATGGGTGCCGGGACATGAGGGAGTGTTGGCCAGGAAGAGACGTGGAAAAAATTTTATTTGACCAGAACCCACAAGTGGTATTTCATAATAAAAATGTATAGTATCGTGATAAAAGGGCATTTTTTTATATTTTAACAAGACTCTGACTCTTGACATCTTAATATATATAAGTTAAAATCAATTAATGTCTTACCGCTGCCAAAAATGTGTTGACTTCATAGATTAAACTTTCTTCGGTAAAAATTGGATTTTTATAAATTAATTCCAATAAGTCGGGTATTCTTTTCTTTTCTGTAATCAATAATAAGTCATGGTAAAACAAGTTTACTGTTTTTTTTTTTATATAAATTGGCTGTGTAGGTACGTAGGTAAATAGAGGCCTTATGGACCTAAATTGAGATTTGCTATTTATGAAAATTAATAACGTTCTGGTTTAATATTTATATGTAGGTATAAACAAGCTTGTCTTTATAAATGAGGTTCTCTACCTATGGAGCCTCAGTTCATTATTACATTTCCATATAAAACTGTAAATAGTCTGCATAAAATGATAGCTCATGTAAGTAGGGCAACTTGACAAATTAAAAGTTAACATTGAAAATAGTAGAGTTCGAAGTACACGATCTTGAGGTAGCCCTTTAACTGCTATCAAGATCTTCCAACACGTCTGATATGTGATTTCGGCAGTACCAATTGGCGGACTATATGTACTCCATCGGGACTCTAGAATAGGCCATTTTTAAGATACAAGCAATCCCACTGAGTCTAGTACCATTTAATAGATCCACTGTATTTAACTATATCTTGCCAAGTAGGTATTTGTGACTTTTTTTGAGCCATTCTCGGACAACCTTCAAGTCATTGTCTTTCTCAGGCTTTCAAGGATGATTTCTTCTTCGTTGCCCTCTGGCTTGATACTAGTTGCTCGAAGAGTAACTTCATTAACCGGTTATTCTCGCTCTTCGAGCCTTTACTGTACTGGCATTGTCGTTCTAAACAGGATCGCCTGGAGTGCGTTGCTATAGAGATGGTCTCTTCGATGCTCCTGGTTATTGCTAGAAAGTCAGCTAGGTGTGGGTGATCGGCGTCTCCGTGGCGCATATCTGCTGTAATTATTTCTTGTTGGACTTCGTATCGGGCTTTAGGAGATTGATTTGAGTGACTTTCTGGCCTCATTCCCTGATTCTCGATTTATAGAATGAGCCTTGCTTCTACAGGTTCTTTGAAGGTATCCGATTCTTCCGCAATTTAAGCATATCCTGCTTTCATTTTGGCTGTTTCGTTGCATATTTTGCAGAATATTTAAGGTTTGTGAGAAAGTAGGTTGGAGAATAGTATTAGTATTGGCATCTTCACTTTCCTGAAATCTAATTTCTCTCACTTTTGCGCGAGAAGATATGGATATGAGTTTTACTGCTTCATATTCCTGGGCTGCAATCAGTTTCTCCCTTAGCGTCTTGTGATGTTGTAGCCGAAGGGCTTGCTGCATTTCCATATCTTTAGTCCATCAATAAATGTCTGTATGCCGATTTGTTCTTGGAAATCTATGGACGTCTGTGGATAGGCGAGATGAATCTTTTAATGCCGGCCTCGAATTCCTGTGCTCTCATTGTATTTCTGACTACGAACCTTTAACTGGCTTTGGAATACCCGTTTCAAATGCTCCTGGCCACACCCTGTCTCCAAGGCTTGGACGAGAGATGAATAACTGGGTTCTCCTTGAGGGAGTAACTGTAAAACGGTTGCTGCCTGTCCTCGCAGCAACACTATCAACGAAGCCGCAATCTCTTTTTTAGCCCAGCCATTGGCTCTAGCTGCAGCTTCAAATTGGAGTCGATACGTTTCCCATGTTATCTGACCATCTAACGTGGGTGACTTAATGCTCTTGCTAGTATGGTTTTATGAAACTTGGTTTTGAATATGGCTTGGTTCGGTTATAGATAAGGACGAGGTAGTGTTTTTAGTTTCTATATTGCTTACCGAAGCTAGACTACGAATTGTTCTTTCTAATTCAACTAGTTCAGTTTTAATTAGCTTTTTCAACTCTACTCTAGCCGTTTCTTGTTGTTTTAAATTAGTTTTTAAATTCTCTTGTTGTGCTAAGAGATCTATTCGACTGTTAAGCTGACCTACCTCTTACCTGAAGTTTTCTTGAATTTGTAGCAGGCCAATCATAATTTCCACCACTGCTTTTCTATGCATCTCCTCCTTCTCCTCTTCTCGCATTTCCGTCTTATCTTCTTCGTCCTTTCTATGCCTTTTTTTTTCCTCCTCTTCTTCTTTCCTACGCCTTTCCTTTTCCTCTGCTCGCCTTTCGTTTTCCTCTTCTTCCGCCTTCCTGCGCCTTTCCTCTTACTCTTCTTGTCTTACCTTGCTGGTGGGCCTGTTAAGTACATAGCGGATCTAGTATTTACCATGAATAGAATGCTTAGGTAACTTTTATTTTATATCCCACAGCTGTCACCAATGTTGCACTGGTTTTCCGTGACTCACTTTATTTCAACCAATGACATATATAGATTAATAGACTGCTCATCCATATATAAACAAGACGACGAAAAGCGGGTCATATAGCTTGGCTTGCCGAGTGCTCACCAGGCAGAATCGGTCTGGCCCAAATGAGTTTAAAACTCATATTTCATCAAAGTAGGAATTGAATTAAAAAAAAATTATCTGTATGTTTATTTCAAGACAGGAGCTTGCGTTAGGTATTTTAAAAAAGGATTTTGAGTCATAACGTCTAGTTTCCCAATTTTCAAAACATTTTAAGAGATCTAACCAATTTTGAACATAGATATAAACAATTTTACACTCATGTGTATATAACTAACTTTAGACCACGACCACTGGATAGTGGCACTATTCGGACACTTAATTATTCTTTTAAAATTACTTTCGCATTATAAAAGCAGATATTATGCAAAAATTGAATGAACTTTTTAAAGATTTTACTAAAAGTTGGTAGCTTTTTCACATTCTAAAGTTTGTTCCCTTTAGACAATTAAGGATTATTTTGGCGGTGAATGTGAATGATTTGATGAATAATAATAAGATTCCACCAGTGGAAATCTGATCAACATCATAGTAAAATGAACTAGGTATAAAGTGCAATCTTAGTTGACGTCAAGATCCGTGTACCTTAGCATCGGTAAGGGGGAAAGAAAGATTCTGATTTACAATCACAAAAAGAACGTACAACTAAGCTTAGTCGATGTAAGTTAGCTCAGATTAGTGGTAAAAAAAAAGCGACTGTTAATAAAAAGAAAAGTAATCCAGCTAAAACAAGGATTATGGCTACTGTCTTTAATAATGATATGTTGCCAGTACTAGTAGAATGTTAAGTGTTGAGTTATCTTCTTCAGGCAATGGATGTACGTATGCATAATTTAAAATGTTTGGTTAATTATTATTATGTTTAATGTGTTTTTGCAGTTAATGAACATATATCTACTACTGAAGCAGATAATGAAGATTTGTGTGCTGCTGAAGAGCTTTGCTTAATTTACAAAACTTTGTTTAAAAGCAGAAAATTGGGATCGATTGTTCAACACAAGTGAAGAGTGGTGATTTAGTTGATCCGTTTTAAAACAGAATTGTTAGTGCTAAAGAACTATCTACTTTAATAGGATTGCAATCCTTCCAGTTATTAGCCACCATTGTGGAATTAGTGGCAGAGTTGTTTCTAAAGAATAGGGAAAAGGAGATCAGTTATGTCTGTAAAGGATCAAGTTATAATTTACTTTTATGAAGTTGAAAACTGATATGCAAGATATAATGTCTTATCCATTTTATTTGGAGTGAATGAAACTTTTTATCATTAAATTTTTTAACAGTTTTTAATAAAACTGGTAGAAGTTCTTAGTATGGTATGATTCGGCCTTCAAAACAAGAAATATTAAATAATGTGCCTCTATGTAAGTAAGAGTACTACTTGATTGTACCGAAATCCCAATACAGCAAGCCAAATGTATTTGTTGTAGGCTAAAAAATTACTCTGACTACAAAAGGAGGCATACTATTAAAATATTGACTGGAGTGTCACCTACTGGTCTCATTACTTACAAAAATGAAGCTTATGGTGGTAGAACTTCAGAAATAGACATTTTTTAACAAAGATCAATACTTGAAGTGTGTGAATCATTTCTCGATAGTAAAATGTTTAACAAAGGTTTTCTTATTGGAAACATAACAGAAGCTGAAGGTATACAAATTATACAGCCTCCTTTCCTCAATAAAAAAAATCAGTTCAGCCATCAAGAGGCTTTACTTAATGCCAAAATTGCCAGAGCTAGAATTCACATAGAAAGAACCTATCAAAGAATAAAAGTGTTTGTCTCTCTGTATTGGTACTTATGTCCGTTTTTCTTCTATTTATATTGAGTTTTTATTATACGATACTTCTCTCTATCTAACTAACTTTTAAAATGTACTTGTAAAGCCCAGATAGCTCTAACTCGGGCCTTTGAATATAATAATATTTATGTAATTGTATTTACAATAAATACTTTATTATTAATATTATTATTATAATTAATTATAATTCATAAAATTATTATAAACGTATTTACCTTGTACCTACTTGTATTGATACTTGCGTGAAAAATGAAATGTTACTTTTTATATGTCTGTAGCTGGTCTTACAACCCTTTATAGACCAATTCACCATTTAAATTTAAAAACAAAACAAGTTTTTACACTCAAATAATAAAAAACTTAAAACAGAACATAAGTATAATTAAAACTAAATAAAATAAACAATTCAACAAAATGTCCGACTGAGTAATGACAATGAGAACAAAATCTCAACTAGACTAAACTTTCTTTAAAACCGGTCCTGTGAAAGGTTTGTTTACCAGTGAGCACTCAAAATTGAGACAAAGAGAAAACATCTCCCAGTTCGACCCGCTTTTCATCGTTTTATTTACGTATGGATAAACAGTCTATTTAAACTATATATGTCATTGATTTCAACTCAACTTTTACAATTTAATTATACAACTGATAACATGAACGTATGACGTCTATCATAAAACTACCTACCTGACATCATCCCGATGTTTCTTGACATGGAATGACATTTCTAGACTATTCTCTATCTTCTTCTTTTACTCATACTTTTACTTATGACAACCGCAGCACACTGTAGAGTGATGGGTGACATTGCATTTCCTTTTTTAATCGTACGATTCCTATAACTGCCCTAGGCTACTGCAGGGTTCAGGGTAACAATATTAACTAATATTTATTAAATTAATGCTTTACTTTGACCTACTAATATTAAAATCGTGCTCATAATACTATTTTCAAAAGTGCTGGATTAGTGCTTGCTATAGGTATTTAATTTTGTTGGTCAAGCTAATTGGTATATAAATTAAAACATTTTTATATGGTTTATAATGTTGAGAATTAGGTATATGGGATTTTAAATAGTGACTTACCTTCAGTTTCTGAATAAACAGCGTCAACATTTTCTTTTAATTGATGAAGCTTTTCGCCGACTGCCTAAAATTAAAATCATATCTACTTTCAAAATGGGTAAAAATGCGATTGAATTGATTTTTAAAATATTTTGAACGAAAACCAAAATTAAACGAAGAAAAAATATCAAAAAATAAAAATGCTTGCTTAACAAATAATAGACTTTTGCTTACCAAAGTTGTGATCTTGTTGAAGCGCTTAGTGTATTTTTCAAAGATCCTTTTGACTGACGAAAATTTATAAATTGCGGCCACCTGATACCACACCTTCAGATGTTTTATTGTTCCATAATAATTTATCCTGAAATATATATGCCAATAAGTAGGAAGAATATATTATATAGGCAAAAAGACGGATGAAGAATGGAAAATACTATTAAACAAAGAAATATACGAAACTTATAAATAACCTAACATATTATACAATATAGTCAAAACGGTTATAATGGGTAAAGGACTCAATATCAAGCACATTTCGTTCGGCCAAGTCAGCAGGGTTGTAAAGTCAAAAAAAGCAAAAAATTTATGACATAAATTTAATTTGATATATGTTTTATCATGTTCTGTTTTCTTGGCATCTTATTGAATGTCTTCAGACCATATCATTAGCCCCTTGTAAATGGTGTGTACTGTTTTTCCGTTGTTACGTTGTAAATAACAGTGTTAAAAGTGCACCGTATACTCTACAAGTCATTTCAGGAACTACCAGCAAATCCCTAAAAAAGTACAGTCCACTTCTTCTCCTAAGGCGGGTACAGATCTGAGCACGTAGGCGTATGAGGCAATCCGAGGCCCAACCAAATGCCTCGTGCGACGTATTTTGTGATGGACGCACAAGGCGCTGTTCGCCACTTATCCAGTAAATTCGCGAGCACGCAACCGTATACCCAGAACATTCGTAAAATTAAAACAAAAATGAAGGATGAGGATGACATCAAGGAGTCGAGTGCATGTTTTATTATTTTATCCGACACATTAAAGAAAAAAGGAGAGAAAGGAATCGATGGCCGATTTCCTACCAAGGATATTCTTTTTTTATTGTGTTGTTATAGAACTGGCGTTTTGTTCTCTTAAGATATCACACTGATTATTTAAATCCAGGAGGAGCAAAACGTTTTCCTGGTTCCATTCCATTTCCATTCCATGCAAAATAAATACTAAAAACTCTCTATAATCTATATAGTGCTGTGTAGCACAAATTTATTGTCCAGACTGAGCACGTATTGCGCATTGCCAACAAACGGATCGGGGCAAGGCCGTACGGCGCACACAACGAGGCAATTTGCCGCGCCTCGGAAGTCTGTCAACATCTGCATGCTCATGCGTCCTCGGCTTGCCTCATACGCGTACGTGCTGAGATCTGTACCCGCCTCTAGATAATATCTCCCACAATATTTATACATAACTTTTATTGTCTATGTATTTCGCCATGCCTCCCGCAGTCCCCACAGAATGCGGTCATGCCAAAAGTTCATCACGATTTTAATTTTTGCGAGGTTGACAAACCTTCCTTTCAAATAGGCTAGCAATTATATGGACATTGAATGGAATCATTGCGTGGAGACATGATTATTTAAGGAAAATAGCGAACGTAAGGAATCAGCATAAACAGGTATTTTATTTAAATGAAACATGGGTTAATGCTGGATATACAGTAACAAAAATTTGGCAAGATACAAAACTAAAAAACAAGCCTTTGTGGAAGGGGTCTCTTGTAGAATAAAAAATTCAACAGGAAAAGGAAATATTTTAATAATAACCCACATTGGAAGCACCGATGGATTTTTGTCAGATAGTTTAATAATGTTCGAGTCAAAGAAAACAAAAGACTACCACCCAGACAGCACACGACGTCCATTGGACGTCCATATTTTGTTCTAAATACAAAAACAAATTCACAAAATATATTATAGACTAGATAGCCCAAGAAAAAGAAATTGAAATTCTCAGATTGCCTCCTTACCACGCAGAGTTAATTACCATTGAACTAATCTGGTCACAATTAAAAGATTATATCTCCCGAAACAATACAATATTTAAATTACCTGATGTGCGAAATCTGTTTTTGAATGCAGTTTCAGATGTAAATGGAGAACATTGGAGAAAATGCATTGATCATGTTAAAAAGGTGGAAAATTAATTTTGGAAAGTGGATATAGCAATAGAAAACTTAATAGACTCTATAATAATAAACCTCAGAATAGACAATAATAATTATACCAGTAGTTATAGTAAAGACAGTGACCTTTAAAGATGGTTTTTTAACTTTTTATTTTTTTTATCTTCTATTTTAGGTACTTTCAATGCCAAGATACTAAAGTCCCATTAACAATATATAATCATCCTTGTTATTTATTGGTCAAATTTAGTCCGTTCAATGTTAAAGTGCAACAATTTTGTCAGAAGAGTAAGGTTTATTTGTATTTTTGTAGATAATAACTTTTTTTTTCTAAATAGTGCGCCTCCTGAATCAATTTGTGCCTGCCATTCCACAGGTTGGATGCAACTTGATTTATTTGAGCAATCGTTTGACAATTTTTTTTGAAGTTCTCTGGCGCATCCCAAGACGCCTCTACATTGTTGATTTTAGATGGACATAAACCCACACACAAAACTTGAACGTTATAAAAAAAACCAGAAACTATTCTGTTACTATTTTGTTTACTTTCGCATTGTATACACAGAATGCAACCCCTCGATGTTTCACTCATGGCTCCCCTTTCATTTTTCTACAGTCAAGAAGTTGAATGTTTTCTACGTAATCATTCTGGGAGATGATTGTACACTATATATTAAATTGCAGAAATATTTGGTAAAGCCTATTTACAAGCCAGCACACCTACTAACGCAGTAAATGGTTTTAGAAAGACATATAATAGGAGAAGTTGTGGAAACTGCTTCACATCTCAATCAAACTGATAACGTAGATGAGGTTTAACAATAAGTTCTACCTGAAACACCACCAACCAAAATCATCGGAAATATCAAAAGAGGAGAGCCCCTACATGCCTCAACCTTCAACGTCGAAAGACCAAAAACAAGTTTCGAGCCAGACCCTATATTTCTCCCCGGAAATAATTCTCTTATCTCAAAGTGACTAAGAAACCACAACAGACTTCCAAAAATGAAAATACTGGTAAAACCGTATCGGCAAAAGGTCAAACGTGGGCTTTTTCGATGGATTCTGAATCCCTAGAGGAGCTTAAAAAGCTGGACATGTCCCCCTACTAGGACCTAGGAAGACAAATTTAGAGTCAAAGGAGGACGTAACCAAGAACCCGCCGGAAAGGTAAATAACCCAGGCACAAGCAGGGAAGAGGAAACCAAAGAGTCTTCTACAGAGTAAGAAACCTTGGCAGAGGACGATGGGTTGAAGTCTTCCCACAGCAGGAAAGAGGACACCAAAGAGTCCTCTTCAGAGGAATAAACCTTGGTAGAGGATGACGAGGTGGAGTCTTCCTACAGTGAGGTCAGTCCCCTCAAGAGGCAAGAAGCACAAGAGGTGAATGTACCTATGGAAATTGGAGAGGCCTCTAAGAAGGCAGACAACTGCCCAGTTCACAGAACTGAGCATATTAATCAGGGTTCTTCAGGTGAACCTCCATCATGCCAAGGCGGCCACCGCTACAGTATGTAGGAGGTTCGACAAAGAGAGGCTAGATTTGGCCTAAAACCCAACCAAGGTAAGATTTTGTATAACGAAAGGTCTAAAAGACTACAAGCATGTATCTTATACAACAATAGAATAAATTGTGTACTAATACCGGTGCTGTGCACCACTGATATTGTTACAGCTCTCCTAACTACGCCGACAGAGAAAGGAACAAAATGATGGCTAGTCTGTTCTGCATATTTCCCAGGCGAGGAACTATGTCCCCTGCATATAAAAGGTGAAATAGTCTCATCTGCGGCAAGGGCTAACCTCCTACTCATCATAGGATGCGATGCCAATGCCCATCATACCATCTGGGAAAGCACTGACATCAATACAAGAGGTGGTCTTTATTACAATTCATCTTATCTGAAGGTTTAGTAATTACTAACATAGGTAACAAACCAACTTTTGTCACAGCAACGAGAAAAGAAGTCCTAGATATGACTCTGCCCGAGTAAAGCAGATTAACATTTAAAAGCGGCATGTGTCAGACGAACCATCATGCTCAGACCACAGACAGATTAGATTTGTTCTAATTAACCCAACCTCGAATTTCAACTAAATAAAGAAACCCTAGAGAGACGAACTGGGAAAAGTATTCAATATCACTTGGAGAGTATCTCGAAGAGGGTATGGTAGAAATAACAGGTGAACAAAGCCTTGACCAAGCAGTAGACCAAGTAAGTAAGACCATTATAACCGCTTACCAGAAAAACTGTCCAAAGAAAACAAGGCAGCAAAGAACAAAAACAGTCTGCTGGAACAAACACTTGGATCGCCTTAGAGGCGAAGTTCAAAGGCTATTTAATAAAGCCAAATCAACCGGAGACTGGGCCCTATATAATGCTAAACTCACGCAGTACAACAAGGAGATAAGAAAGACTAAAAGAAAATCGTGGAGAAAGTTATGTGAGAAGTTATCTAAAACCCCCACATGCTCTAGAATCCACAAAGCCCTAGCTAAAGATGGTACTGCAAACCAAGTAGGATTTTTCAGGAAAGATAAAGAAACCTATACAAAAACCTTCGAGGAAACGTTAACAATGCTCACAGAAGTACACTTTCCGGCCGCAGAAATTTTGCTAGGCTCTGTAATAGCATACGGCCCTCAAAGAAGGTCTCGTAGGCCAACTCCTTTGGAATGGAGGCTATCTACAGAAATATCGAGGCCGAACAAAATTAGATGGGCTACAAATAAATTTCAACCATTCAAATCCCCAGGAGTAGATGGAATATATCCCATTCTACTACGAAAGGGACAGGAAACTTTAATTCCACATATGTGTCGCATATTTAAGGCATTTATAGCCTGGCGATATATACCAAAGGCGTGGCAAAAGGTGAAAGTCATATACCTTCATAAAGTAGGAAGGTTTAATGATAAGACACCAAAGTCGTACCGCCCAATAAGTCTAGCGTCATTCATGCTGAAAACGCTAGAAAGACTAATAGATAGATATATACGAGACGAAATACTGAGAGAAAATCCTCTCAGCGACCGTCAATATGCATATAAGCCAAGCAAGTCAACCGATTTGGCCCTGAATGATCTCAACAGGCTATTGTCAAATTATAGAAATGGCAGTAGCAACTTTCGTAGATATTGAGGGAGCTTTTAGTAATGCCCAAACAAGATCAGTAATTAATGCCCTAACAATGAAAGGGGTACCAGTAGTCCTATGTCAGTGGGTAAAAGCCATTCTAGAAGAAAGGATAATAACATCATCTCTAGGCGAAGCTACACTGACAGCTAAAGCAGGCAGGGGCTGCCCCCAGGGAGGAGTACTGGCACCCCTCCTCTGTTCAGTCATAGTAGACGAACTCATAAAAAGGCTAATATCTGCAGATTTCTACTGCCTAGGGTATGCCGATCTCCTAGCAATCGTAGTAAGAGGCAAGTTCACAGGTACAATATCGGAGCGCACAGAAACCGCTCTAAACATTGTTGACGAGTGGTGCAGAGAGGAGGAACTAACAGTAAACCCTCACAAAACCACAATAGTCAACTTTACAAAACGAAAAGTACCAACAGGACTTAAGTCACCAGTACTGAAATGAGTGAAGATTCCATTTGCTCAAAAGGCCAAATACTTGGGAGTCATCTCTGACCACAGGTTAACATGGAATCAACACTTCCAAGAAGTCATCTAAAAGAGCACAACATCCTTCAACTTATATCGAAGGTTGTGTGGAAAAAATTGGGGACTACAACCGAAAATGTCCCTATGGTTATATACCAGAGTCATAAAGCCGATGATAACCTACGGGTTAGTGGTATGGTGGCCAAAGACTTGGCAAGCCATTCGACATCGCAATGGTATTCAACGGCAAGCATGCCTGAGTACCACGGGAGGTATGAGAACGACTCCAATGGTACCTATAGAAGTCATGCTAAACCTAACACCACTACATATATTCACTCAAGGCGAAGCCAGGTCTGGCACAAAGGTTCATCACCCATAAGCAGTTTGCATAGACGCAACTACGGCGAGTTATTTAAAGAGTTGGGGAACGACCAAATAATGGGAATGCCTTCAGACGAAATGCTCCCAAAGTATAGCTTTCAAAAGCAATATTAAGTAAGTATAACAGATAGGGAAGCGTGGACGGGAGGGCCTACTATTCATGCAGAATTTACCTGGTATACAGACGGCTCCAAAACCCATGAAGGTTCAGGAGCTAAAGACAAGAATCTCACATGCGACAGTATTCCAGGCAGAAATAGCAGCAATACATTACTGCTTAATAGAGGTATTAAGACAGAAGGTAAATGAAAAACCATTGTCATATACTCAGACAGTCAAGCGACGTTAAAAGCACTCAGTTCCATGCAGGTACACTAAAAGCTTGTGTGAGACTGTTTGAAAACCCTAACAGAGCTGGGTAGTCAAAACAGACTAACCTTAGCCTGAGTACCAGGCAGGACATAAGGGCAATGAAGAGGCTGATTTACTAGCACGAGAAGGAGCCTCAAATGCTCTTATTGTTATATAATAGCAAGACTAAGATTGCTTACACTTGGAGAAGAAAAACCAAGGACAGCTAGCTATACTAGAGAACTACTTCCAGTCTATGGAGTTGACTTCAAAAGACCGAATTAGACAAGGTACTCTAAACAACTATAAAAGGATATCCACAATAGATCTGAAAAGAGAAAAACAGGAAAAGCTAAAAACAGAAAAAAGCTGTTGCCAAGTTCGAAAATAATTTGGAATATAGTGCATCTGAAAACAGCTTTTATTGTGGAAACAATTTAAGTAAGAGTAAAAATGAAGAAGGCTGGATCCAATGTGTAAGTTGTAATAATTTTGCAATAAGTTTGAAAAGTAAATTAACATACAAATTACTATCCCATTTTAAAAGCATAGTGTATCTCATTTTAAGCACAATACTCCCTAAAACGGGACAGTTACACTTTTTTAAAAAAAGCATTATATTTTTGATATTTATATTTTGTTGTAAAAATGATTTTGATATATAATGAAAACCACTATAGATAACATGTTTGTACATGTTCGGTCGCATATAATATTTGTTCCTCAACCTTTACAGTTTATGTCGAACGTATTACCCTTCGATCCACATTCCTTGATTTAAATTTATCATTTTTATAAAGTTGCCTTTTAATATTTGCAAGTGTTTGTTAAATTGGAATTTGGCGATTAGTATATCTCTTTCTATAAACTCGAACACTTTCGCGACCATTTCCGTTACGAAATCCGTATACTAACAGCATATTGTTCATTGTGTGAGTTAGTTTTATTCATGGTAAAGGGCATGGTAATAAATTTAAATCGATATCTGACACTTATATTGACAACATAAACATTTATCACGATACACTTTTTATTATAAAAATGTGTATACGAGGACATATCAAAAAGTTTCGGTATCTTCAACACCTAAAAATTTCTACAAGCAACGATCTGTTGATCTGTATGCCATATATAAAAATTATTAATATTTTCATTGATACCATCTTTCATAGTACTAAGTAGGGATGTTAAGCATGACAATATTAAAGGTTCCATTATTTTTTTTTGTTCTTTTTTTTTCGAAAATATATCTACTATGGCGACGTTGAAGACGAATAACTTTTTTTTTTAGCAGAAATGTCAAAAAGTGATAGATAAAAAAAAATAGGGACAATGTCCTTTACCCTTCCCCTAATGAGACGCTTTTGATAGCAGTATAAAAACTGTTCCTGTTGTGGCCATAAAACACCGAATATTTGTACTCAGTTTGATCTTGTAAAATGGTCAAATTCTGGATATTAAAGAAAAGAACAAATATTTTTATTTAACTTTGTTGACCTCTAGCGACCAAACGAAGCCCATTAATCTGTGCTGACTCCATCTACCTGCAATTTTCGGACACTCTGTATGTTTTTCTATCCAAGTGATCTTCAGTAGGGAAACAAACATAAACTAACAGTTTTGTTTTGGAGCGGTGGTAAGTGGTATAAAAAAATCTGTTCAATTTACTGTAAATATTAAAGAGTACTCATATTATGTTTGTGAACTTACATTTCTATAGCGTGTCCAAGATCATCTCCTCTGGGTTTCGCATAATTAATATTCAAATCGACACCTATTATAGTTTCTGAAAAACATTTGTTCAAAATCTTTACGAAACGTTTATTTACATTTTGGTTTAATAGGTATAGAGATGTACCCAGTAAATGTTACAATAATTCATGTATTTAACGTTTATTTTGTAAACATTTTTAAAAAAATTTAAAACTTTCCAGCATTGCTAATGTTGGTCTAAACTTAATTTAAATCAAGATTTAACAATGGTTAACAATCCATGAATTAGGTACAATCAAAACTATTTTAATAAGATAAGCTGGGGTAAATGTAATATGGGTCAGGTGAATAAAAACAAGTAAATGCCTTTACTTGACATTTTTTAAGTTTTTACTTGTTGGTAATTGAATAATAAAAGTACTTACTCGCGTTCAGGAGTAAATACTTGTACTTGCCTTGATGTCAAGTAAACACTTAAAATTAGGTGTATAAAATAACGTAAAAGTTTCTACTTCAGAGTAAGGTCTCACTTTGATGCAAGGTTGGTCAGAGCCATACTCGTCATACAAATTTAAATCAGAATGGCTGCTTTTATGCATGTACGTGCTAGAAAAACTTATGAACAACGTAAAAATATAAGCATCGATAGTTGTAAAACATTATTACGCTTTGAAAGTGAAAATATTGATTTCATAAGTGATTATTTTTTGAATGACGTCACAGAAACTCGAGGTGGAGCACTAAGTAAAAGGATGAAAATGGAAATGTTTTTACATTATGTTAGTGATCCAGGATTTCAGAGTGGTGTTGCTTATAATTTTGGAGTGAATCGAACAACAATTAGCAAAACATTAGATACTGTTATGGACGCCATTATGGATAAAGCCAACCACTGGATTAAATTTCCATCAAGTGCTGAAGATATAAACAGGGCTAAGGCAAAATGGAATTCAAAATTCGAAATACTTAACTATTCGAAAAACCTGTTGCATTTACCCCAGCTTACCTTAAATAATTTAGAAATATTACTTACTACAAGATACGTCCAATGAATATCTTTTAGCAAAAATAGACCAATCATAATCTTTTTTGTTTCCAACTTCTCTCAGTCGTTTTACGAATTCGGCACTAGCTTGTGCGAAAATGTTAACAAATGAATCTAAAATATTTTTATTAAAAGAGGGAGAAATTGCTCTTCGATGAGGTTTCCATATTTTAGCTGAAACAAAAAATGTATCTTTTTATAATGTAGTTCGAAGTACCTACTTGAATAGAGATGGAATGGGGTAAAATATGAAGAAAAACCATTTGGGTTGTTTAGAAAATTTAAGACTAAGTACTTACAATAAATATAACAGCTTATAAGAGGATAACCTAGAATAAATTAGACACAAGCTAGTATAGTACGAGCAAGAGATATAGTGTGACTTTAAAGCTTTAAAGCCAGCCGGCAACATACAAAAAAAAAACTAAGGAGACTGTTATTCTTTTTCTTTCGGCACAATAAAGGGATTCATATATGACATCTACATCCGAAGCACAGGGACGAATCTAATTAGTTGTTGTATGTTATGCTTTAATGTCAGATTATTGTATATTTCAAGTGGAAATGTTATACGCATTTAAAAATTATCACATTATTTGCATAATTTCCTAACTTTAATTAACACGTTCGCTGCCGACAACGCATACGCATACGTGTCGTTGACACTCCCACCAATCCTAGAGCCGCCAACGCCACGTTTGCGTTGCTTGTAGGGAAGGGTAAAACAGTGACTTTTTAATAACAGGTACAGTCTGCTTCAGTTTCATAAAATACCTGTTCCAAAAAACCTGTTCCAGTTCCAAGTTGTTCCAACAATTTAAACCGTTTGTTTGTTGTTTCGTGTCTGTTGCGACTTGCGGGACCACGATACCGAAACTAAAACAAGACAGTTTTACGTCGACGGAACAGTTTGATTTTCTAATGTTTCAACTGTTTCAAGGGTACCTATCACAGGCACAGTGTAGCAGTCGCAAAAACGCAAATTTCAACTTAATAGGTAATTGTTACTAATTATTATTATATAAATGTTTTTTTTGCTGAAAAAAAGAACTAAACTAAAAACACTATTGATTAAACAAATAAGTATGTTTCATACAATCTTATTTTATTTTTGTTTTATTTCAGAAAAATAACACAGATCACAGATTTTATAATATTCATTATTTAATAATAAATATCAAGCTGTTTCAATATTACTGCTGGCTAGTCTGTAACTGCAACAGGCAACTGTCACAGTAATTAATATTAATAAAGTCAATGCCTAATAACAAGTTGTTCCAGTCCCACACAATTTGCGCTCTGCGACTGTGACAGAAAGTAGCAATTTAAAATAAACAATCTCCGTCCACCGAAACAACTGTTCCGTCGAACTGTTTCGTAATTCGATGCATACCTGTTCCAATCCCACGCAATTTGCGCGCTGCGACTATGACAGCAAGTAGCAATTTTAAATAAACAATCTCCGTCCACCGCACTGTCCACCGAAACAACTGTTCCATGTAATAAAAAGATTGTTTCAGAAAATCTTCCAAGAAAATGTGAGAAAACAGGAGGAAGAACGCTTAGGCGAAGATGCAAAGCATGCTGGTCTAAGAAAATAAGAAAAGACACTCAGTACTTCTGCCCAGCATGTTCAGGATCGCCAGGATTGTGTCTTGAGGGATGTTTCTCAGATTTTCATAAGACATAAATCTTTTACCTACCGATGTGCCAAGAATTTGTTTTGCTTTTGTTTTAGTTGTTTCACATTTCTCTGGAAGCAAATTTCAGTTTTTTTTAATAATATATTGTAATGATATTGTACCTAATACCATTTTCCTTTTTATATTAATTGAAATATATTATTTTTTTTTATCTCAGGGGTGCTTCCAAAGTTATATTATTACTTTTTTTAATTTAATTATATTTTATTTCAATTCTATTTAAAGTTTATTTTATTTCAATTCTATTTAAAGTTTATTTTAATTTTATCTTAATTTTATTTTTATTTTATTGTCAATAATCAATAAAAAAATAAAACTTATGACTTAACTATCTTCATACCCTGTATATTCAATACTAAACAAACAAATTTTCATAACCACAATACAAGATTTATTTATAAATACATTATTCCCAACCTTAAAATTACAAAAATGCCAAATATACCCCACTATTTACATTGATGGAGATGACACTATACTATATTATTAATCTACCCTATATTCATTCACACAACTAAACTATAAACTAAAAATTAAACTCTACAAACTCACTGTTCATCTTCAATAACTTGTCTATCTCTATTCTATTATCTATTGTCTTATTTTATTATCACATATACACACATATAAAAAAAAATTATTTAGAATAAAATTCACATCATAGTACCTAGTTAGTAATTAATCATAATACATAATTTAAAATAAAAAAAAGTAATACAAATTACTAAACGTCCGCCTCTGCCTCTGACGTCACACCTTCGCGCAGGGTCGAGCACGTGGCTGTACCAATCTCATCTTGGCCGTCCTCTACCTGTGTTGGCTAGACCCACCCCGGGACACCAGGTACTGCGCATAATAGAAAGGAGTCGTAAAATATGACCCAAAAAAAGTGTTTGATTCAGTGGCCAACAAACAACAATTGAAAGTTTAGGTAATTCTAAAAATACTTGTAATTTAGGCAGACACTTTTGAGAGGGTTTATAATTAATAAATCAACCCCCAAGTTGATTTTTTTTAAATATGATTTGAAGTGTTTGAATCACGCTAAAATTTTAATAGCGTATTAATTAAATATAAAAAAAAAATAATTCCAAAAAGGCAGACACTTTTTCCGGGGTTTAATTGCCGGCCAAAATAAAAATGAATGAACCTCGTTATGCGCCACTATGCATTGAATAAGTATATACTTTTTAAAAACTAAACATTTTAAATTACCAAGGCTGTGAAATAATAAAACAATAATATTTTTCCTTTTTTTTAGGAAAAAAAAGCAAAAAAAAAACTAAAAGTTTCGGGGCTCAAATCACCAACTTGCCATCCACACTATCCAAATTTTGATAGTGTGGATAGCAAGTTTTTTTTTCCTAAAAAAAAAAGAAAAATATTATTGTTTTATTATTTCACAGTCTTGGTAATTTAAAATGTTTAGTTTTTAAAAAGTATATACTTATTCAATACATAGTGGCTCATAACGATGTTCATTCATTTTTATGTTGGCCGGCAATTAAACCCCGGAAAAAGTGTCTGCCACTGGTTTATCCGTTACTGGTTTAACTGTAACCATTAATCGTGGCAAAACACAACCACCAAATCCTTTGTTTTTAATAGAAATAGGGTCACTTTACTAACCATTTCACCTTATCTTAACCGCAACAACCAAGCAGTGCATGCTTGATTTTTTTGACAACCAGATCACAAAAGAAAGGACAGCTAGATCACGGTTTTCTTCTGGGCTTGTCACTGTCATCTGACAAAATCGTCCCTTCCTACAGGGGTATCACTGTACTTACTCATAATAAGGACCATCACTAATCGCTAAAGAGTAATAAGTTATTACTCTTATAGTTACGTTACAGTTACCTATTACTTATAGGTGGGTATGTAGTTATAGTTATAGGTTATAAGGGTAGGTACCTATATGATTATAAATATACAAATTATAACAACTTACCTATCGGTAATTACAAAACTATTTAAAGTCGATTGATCATCATCACGACTTTCCCCTAAGGGCTCCTGGGAAAACTTGTGTGTTTTCTTAGGTGGCTCCAAAGAGTACTAGTGCTTCCAGAATATTTGAAAGAGTTTTCGCAAATGTTGCAAATTGCGTTTTCCTTTGAATCGTCTTTAGTATAATAGTTCCATATTTATGACATTTTAAATAATAGTAAGTATTATTAATTTAAAATTTTAACTGTAACTTGGGTGTAGCACTGTCTGATACTTTTTAATTCTAGTAGAACTGACCTAAAAATATGGTCCAGGATCAGGAAGCTCTTCTACTTCCTCTGGTATCGAGAGGCGTAACTAAGAGCTAGGGATGCGCACGATACGTCATGTTTGAAAAACATCGATATTTGGCTTTCGACGCGACGTTTGATGTTTCAATTTTCGTCGGTTTTATTTTTTTAATAATATCGATCGACATCGATGTTTTATTCGATATTTTCCATTTTTCAGCATACTGCATCTTTATTTAAATTGGTCACAATTAAAAAAACAAATTTCTATCGCACAAATGCGCCCTCTAATAGACAATGAAAAAGTTTAATTTGAAGCATATTTTGGATAAATGTGTAATAATTTTCTTAGTTTTACTTTGTTTTATTATTATTGGAATGTTTATATTTGTTTGTATTTTGTTTTACTTACTTTTAAATGTATAAGTTTTAAAAACATCGATGTTTATAAATATCTTTTTTTTCACTTCGGTCATTTTAATGTCATCGATACTTTATTTTTGGTATATCATTCGATGTCAGTATCGACATTTTAAGAAATATGCGCATCCCTACTAAGAGCTCAAACTATACTTATTCGTTTACGTTCACGGTCTCACTAAAACCGGTTTCGGGTACGGTTAAACCAGTTACGACTCAACAAGTTACAGGTTTAACCGGTCCAATTAAAGTTACGCCGGTTGCGGTTAAACCGGTTACGGTTAAACCGGCTATAAACCGGTTACGGTTAAACCCGTTACGTTCTTTAACGGTTTTTTGGTCCTACGGAACCGGTTAACCGGTCACGGTTACCAGTCTTAGTTTTTATTGTATAATTTAAATTTTCCGCTTTACATATCGTGTCTTGTGTTGATAGTCACCGACCTTTACATACAAATTGTTTTATTTTACTTCCATTTTTCTTTATGACAATTGTTATTTTCTGTTTTTGGGCAATTGGTGATTTAGAAATTAGAAGAAAAAAAATGCCTAATTTGGCGCACCAGATAGAGCCCTACTATTGAAATATGCTTATCTTGTAGAATGGAAAAAATGCAACATCACGGAAAAGAAATGAGAAGGTTACAGAAAATCTAAAATTTAATAATAAAATTCAGTTCATTGATATCAAAATTATTGGGTTGTTCCATTACAATACACGGATTACACGGTCATCTTGGCTCATATTCAATAATTTAAATAATTTCTTTGTCATCGTCGCTGTGAATGTATTTAAAAAAATCCATTTATGAAAAATAATAAAATTAATAAAAATATTAACCTCTAAATTTGACAAACATCGCCCTACGCATGTACAATAAATAACTGGCGGTTATTTGTACGAAATTGCCACATGCAAGTGTCGGTTAAGCCGGAGATACACATGCAATCAAATTGGGTTAGTAGCTTGCATGCGAGCAGCTTGCATGTGCCAGTAGCTTGCAGACTAAAGATACATTTGCAAATAAAATTGAATGTCAGTAGCTCGTATGTACCAGTAGCTTAAAGACGAAGGATATATTTGCCAGTTAAAATGCATGCAAGCCTACAAGTACGCGCATTTCAAAAAGGTTCGAAGTGAGTAAAAAAGTGTAATATAGTCACTTGCAACAGAATGCGTACTTAAAATTATACAACCTAAACAGAACAGAATTGATATAGGAATTTTCACGTGCTATTTTATTTTTAAACAGAAATGAATTACTAGAATGCTACAAAAATTCGTACTCTTCATATAAACGAATAAACCTTATCTTTTTTTCATCTCCCTAAGGGAAGTTAGTCGTGATGACGATCACAACTTGCATGCGAGTACTAGTATGCTAGTACCTGTCGTCTGTGTTTACACATTCAATTTGGCATGCAGTTCGTACCCCTTACCATCCAAATTGCGCATTGCTTGCCAAAAAAATCAAATCTTGTTCAATCTACTTGTATGCAAGTTAACAGATACACATGCAAGTAGCTTGAACATTCAAGTAGCTGGAATGCAAGTGTGCAAGCTACGGGCATGTGTAACTCCGGCTTTAAGCCGGATATACACATGCAAGCAAATTGTGCTAGTAGCTTGCATGACAGTAGCTTGCATGTGCCAGTAGCTTGCAGACCGAGGACACATTTGCAAGTAAAATTGCATGTCAGTAGCTTGTATGTGCCAGTAGCTTGAAGACATACATTTGCCAATAGCTTACAAGCCTTCGGGATCGAGTAGATTTCGTATAGGTTAATACAACGTTTTATGCTAACCTCTTCCAGAATTTTAAAGTGTTTTTAGTTTTTAAATTTTCACAAATGGCCTTTCACATAGAAAAGGTTCGAAGCGAATTAAATAGTGTAATATTGTCACTTGCAATAGAATGTGTACGTCAAATAATACAACCTAAATGGAGCAGAAGAAGGAGAACACGTATTTGGGTAAATACATTTTGTGGTCTTTTCATCTCCCCATCGAGACATGATGATACGGTATTAACAAAACGAAAAAAGAAAAAACTTGACGGCGATCACAACTTGCATGCAACTATTGACATGCTAGTATCTGTCGTCTGTGTTCACACATTCAATTTGGCATGCGAGGTATATTAATTTTATTTATTTATATAACTAGAATTGCATCTACCCCCCACCATCCAAATTGCACATAGCATGCCAAAAAATCAAATCTTGTTCAATATACTTGTATATGCAAGTTAACAGAAACACATGAAAGTAGCTTGAACATTCAAGTAGCTGTCATGCAAGTGTGCCAGCTACGGGCATGTGTATCTCCGGCTTTACGGTTACAGTCAGAATAGCTGACGGCTATCACTGGAGGTCGATAAATGTTTTGACTGGCAGTGGCTGACGACTATCTCCGTAGCTGCCAGCTATTCTAAATAGCCGGTGATTGAAAAACCGGCCCTAAGCCTCAGAAGGTGCAGTGCTGTAACATTTTAAACTTAAACGGATTAGGGCAATAATCCAAATGGTGGAAAAAATGGTTTATAATCCCATAAGTAAAGACTACCTAAATACCTGGTGCTGTTAATATCCCAGGGCCAAAAACTTCAGTTATTGTTTCATAAACGTCACTCTTATCTATAGCCTTAGGATTAGTTAATACAATTTTAATGTATTCAGGATCAGACAATAAACAATATGTTTTATTAGGTCCCAACCAAATTTTACAGATTTTTGGGTATTGGTAATACAGCTTTTCTATTGTCTTCATATAATCTGCAACACGAAAAACTATTACTGAGTATACCATTATTTTTTTTTTTTTTTTTTTGAATTTTGACAATGACATTAATTTTACGTGTTCTGGTAAGTGAATGTATTATACTCACCTGCTGAATTTCGCAAGAATATATAGGCATTTCCGATGATTGGCAAGCCTGGAGGTCCATGTATTTTCGATACTTTTTTAAAAAATTCTCGGTTATGTCTTAAATATTCCACGAATCGAAAAAGTAAAAGGGCAAAAAAGAAAAATATCAAAATTTCCTGGAAATTGTATTTCAGGTCGATTATATAATTATATAATAATTTAGGCATACTGAAAAAGATCTGAAAATAAGTTTTCAAATTATATACAAATAATATTCAAAGGAAATATAATAGTAGTTTTTCTTCGAATTTATTAAAAAAACGTCGCTCTTGTTCAAATTTATCAGAAAACTTAATCAAAAAGAGCAACTTTTCAATATACTTACCTCAAACGAGCTAATGCAAAATACTTTTACGACCCAGGCCGAAAAAGTCAAGCAGCTCCGATTTCTATACTATAGACAGGGCCGCCGAGAGCCAGGTCGGGCCCCGGGACAATTTTTTCAGGTCGGACCCCGCGACAATTTTATAAAAAAAAATAAGCCATTTCAATATAACATATCTAAAAAAAGGTCCTCCTCTTTGTGGCGAACTTCTAAAAAAAATAAACAACATCCTCACCTAAAGCTGCCCCCACTTGAGCTCGGGCCCCACGAATTGGTCCCGGCTACCCCGCCCCCCTCTCGTCGGCCCTGACTATAGGAGGTTGTTTTTCTACTTTGTTGTACATTTCTGTTATTTATGATTGGATAAAAATAGAGGGCATCAGTAATTTAGAAAACTTTAGTTAAACTTTTCCCTCAGTACAACTAACAAAGGTATAATTTGTGAACTGAAATATGTATTTGGTAAACATAATATAGGTGTTTCATTGGGAAACGAAAATAAGTTAACGTTGAATGGAGATCGCCGAGGTGGTTCTAAATATACCGTATTCAATGGGTCTTGTAATCTCTATTGAGATACAGGGCGTTTTATCGATTTAGCTCATTTCTCTCGAGGGCTATACATATAATGAACCATTCAGTATATTTTTTTGATTTTGAGTACACATGTTTTGCATGCACTTTCCAAACAAATGTCATTCAAGAAAAATCCAGGTCCGGATTAACAAATAATATATAAATTGTGGTGTCCCTAAAATAATACCTTGTATATCAGAATTTTCAAAATACGTTTAAATATATATATTTGCAAAAAGAACAAAAATTGAATTAAAAACTTTTATACTGGAGGTACTGATGTGTAAGTTAAATTTGTATAAACGAGGAGAAAGTAAAAGTCCTTTTGATCTCACAAGAAACATATCACAATCTTTGATATCACCGCATGATATCAAAAATACTTTTTTCTACGATCACTATCCAAAGTAGGATTTTGCACATTCAAATCTAATTGGACAGTTGACGTTTTCCGCGAATTGTCATAATTTTACATTATTTGCGCACACGTGCACCTATGAAGTCTAGAGAGAAGGAGGCGATTCGGCAATGGTCAAATTTCAAATTTCCGTCCTTTTTTTTTTATAAAGTTCGCGAAATTGACTGTAGTTGGCATGCCTAATGACAGCGCAGTCAATTTTCTATATAAGTCAATGTAAAATAAAGTGATTTTTTTAAAAAATTGATGAAAAGAATCAAAATAATGTGAAAAAAAGTACCTGAGTACAAGTAACATGACTGACAAAAAACATCAAAGCAAGATTTACGTCGTTTTAGATTGTAAAACAGGATAAAAATCAAATATCAAACTAAAGAAAACACAAGAAGAAATCAATTCAATGTTTTTTTAAAGCTTTTAATGTAAGTAAAATAATGTATTCATGTCTAAATATAATATTTATTGTATACTAGTCACAATATGTATCTTACGAAGTATAGTTTATTTTATTATAAGTTTCTATAATATAAAATTTTACAGTTATACGAGTAGATGCTGACTTACAAACAACAATAATTATGCATTAAATTTACCTTACCAGAAAAGAAAATTTATTTTTTATAAAATTTTAATGTTAGATAAAGAGTTGGTAATGTTATTTTTTTTTGGACCCCAATTGTGTCATTTTAAATGTTTTTTATAGAATACTAAACGTTTAGAACAGTGGCAGCATATAAAGCACTTTCTAGAGATGATACTTTTTAGAAGATATTATCAAATATTATGAAACTATTTTTACTGATGGTACTGTTAGGAAAATAAAAAGGGGAAAGCTGAAATTAAAGGATGAGGTAATACCATGTACATTCCCAAATCTCCCTTTATACTTGTATTACAACAATAAAAAATCTGTTAACTGTGTTTTATTTTACTCTTAAAACTATATATTGGTTCAATTCAAAAAAAAATTGCCACAAAATTGTACTTATCAAATTTCCGCAATTAAGAAACCTTTTCGAATTTGGTCATACATACCTAATTTGTATTTTATATAAATAAAATTAAATAATTTATCAATTAAAACATGCAAGACTTATTTTAAAATAAATACAACAATAAGTTATGTACTTTATTTAGCTGTAAACAAGTTTATTTTTATTATTTTGACAAAATTATGTATAATTCCCATAAGAAGCCATGTATTTTGAACAACGAATGCAGTACCAGCGCCCATGCGGTTAATTATATAAACTCAATTAGCATGCGTTTTTTGGGACTGTATTTTGAGTATCGTCGCTTGAGAAGAAGACTATCCTATGTCCATTTTTTTGAAAAATGGGTTTTTGACATAAAATCTTAAGTCCTATTTAGTTCTAGCTGGTGCAATACTATCCAATGTCCTAAGTAGCCGTATGGCGAACAAAATTTGTTTCTACAATAATATCCTAACTTTACCCCCCCCCCTCTACTGCCAAATATTCTATTATCCTATGTCCATAACTTGGACATAGGATAACAATAAGCTCAATAATTTTTTGGCGCCGTGCTGACTTACACAAAAACAAGGTAAGTTAAATAATTTATTAGAAATATTTATATTAGACATTGCCAACCGGATTAATTATTATAACCTCAAAATTCCTAATGTTGGTCGTGGCTAGTAGCACGTTCTGTCTTGATTTGTTTTCCTTTGTTTAACATGAAAACTTTTAGCCATATCTGTAATCTTATTTTTAAAGGCTGTGCGAAACAGAAAAGAAATCCCTAAAAACGATATGGCTAGTTTTTTTAAAAGGTACTCTTAGGCAAAAAATACATTATTAAACAAACAACATGTAAAATTTTTGGTAACAAATTTTTAAATGGACGTTGCTTAAAAAATAATTGACGTGTTTTGAAAAACTTTTAAATATTGAAAGACTATTTTCTATGGATTTTCTATAGGTCATTAGGATTTCTTACTAACAGCCATTTTCACGTTATACAGGTGTGGAGAAAAACAACCCAAATTTGCGCAAAGTATCGCAACATTCTTATTATAATTATGCCATTTGGACTATAATAATTTATACAAGTATTAATGTTTTCAACCACTAACGTAAAAATTATTTGATGTTGAAGGTTCCATTCCGGCCTTTTTTATAAATACGTAGGACTCCTAAAAATCAATTTTGACGTTTATTATAAATTATAATTTTGTTAAAATGTATATAAAGTATAATCAGAGTTAGAATAGGAAATATTTTTTTACAGAAGATTCCGGCTTAACTGAAATCACTTCGCAAATGACAGAACTTATACCCGAGGGAGGATTGCAAAAAGTACATATCGTAAACCAAAGTGCCTTTACCTCAGTGGATCAATTATGCATTGAAGATGAAAAAACGTATTACAACTTGACCACAAGAACGGTTGTTGAAGAAACTCCTTCCTGTAGTACTTCTTCTGAAAAAGCTTTAAATAACACTGATATAGAAATCGAAGTCCAAGAATCGAGCATCACTGAGCCAGAAACTAAACCTGATTCTAGTAGATCTTCAGAAAGTGACCCTTATGGAACTGATAGCGAGTCGGACTACGTACCGGAACCAGAAATTCCCCATGCCAATTCTGAATCAGTGATTAAGAAAAGTAAGAAACGACGAAGAAATTCAAGCGAATGAAAGAAAAATAAAGCTAAGAAACTCAGGAACCTTGGAAAGTCGTACACCAACAGCAAAAATAAAATAGTTCCAGAGAAAAAAATTAGAAACAGTTGTAGAAACTCTTGTAGGCAAAAGTACAGCCAAAAATTTTCAGAAAATCAAAGAATCAATATTTTCTCAGAATACTGGTATCTTGGAAGTGTAGATCGCCAAAGAGATTATATTGCAAGATTTGTCGATTTTATAGATAAAGCAAGAATCCGTTTAAGAAGAAAATTTAACAACAAAAACATGACCAAAACTGAACCAGGTACAAGTGCTGAAGTTAACACCAGTCCGTTTTCTAGTGAGGATGAAAGTGAAACTGCACCAAGTAGAAGAAAGAAGACATTTTTTTATCACCTACCTTCCGAAGGTGGAAAAAGAGAAAAAGTTTGTCAGACATTTTTCCTTAATACTTTGGGTATTAGTCATCAGATAGTTAAGACTGTTGCTAAGAAAACAACTTTGCCTTCACAAACAGTTCAAGAAGACCAGCGTGGACTAACGCACTATTCCCGTGTATCCGAAAAAACCAAACAACTAATCAAAGATCATATATTATCTTTTGAAAAAGTTGAAAGCCACTATTGCCGGAAGCAGTCGTCAAAAGAATACCTTTCCCCAAATCTCAATCTAAGCAAAATGTACGTTTTATATTTAAAACACTGCGAAAATCGTAAAGAAATTCCAGCTCAAAAGTCCACTTATCGTCAAGTATTTTTGAATGACTTTAATTTGGGTTTTCACTTTCCAAAGAAAGATCAGTGCGACTTGTGTACTGATTACAAACATTCAAACATTGAAGAGAAAATTACTATGCAAGAAAGAATCGACAATCATCTCCTCAATAAAGAGAAGATGAGAGACTTAAAAAACTCTGAAAAATTAAGAGCCGATACTGATAATTCATTTTGTGTCTCTGTATTCGATCTTCAGCAAATTCTTCCCTGTCCAAAAACCGAAGTCGGGCAAGCTTACTACAAGTCAAAACTTGCAACCTACAATCTAACCGTTTTCCACGCAGGAAAGGAACAAGGATATTGCTTCATGTGGCATGAAGGCATAGCATCAAGAGGGTGTAATGAAATTGGAAGTTGCCTACTACAGTTTTTAAAAATTAAATCGGAAGTAGGTATTACAGAGATATCCTTTTATTCGGATAATTGCACTGGT